ACAATAACAATTATTTAATGAAGGACTATATAATGTCTTAGATGTTAGAAAATCAGTTTAACAGTGTAACACTTGAACGATTTTCAATGAGACCCACTACTTTTTATATGTGCAACACCTAGTGGATAAAAGTAACCTAGTTCCATTATATGAAAGATTAAGATAAACCAAGCTGCCAAACAAATCAGCTTTATAAAAAAAGATTATCGTGTATACAGGCCATGTTTGCTGATATAGGTACCTAACTATATTACCATATAATTTAATCGTTTGTTACAATATAAGATAGATCATTGTTGAGTTTACAAGATACCATAGATCATATGAACCAGTACCTTAACTGAGATATCCCAAAGTTGTTTTGCGGTATGTTAATAAATGGCCACTACCCTAACCATAAACATCATGTCATCTACTGATGACAAGTCAGTTAGATACAGTTTAGTTTCACAGAAAGATATGAACTCTCATCACAACTAGGGTGCCAAGTATGCTGTTGTAAGTTAAAGCAAGTGATGAGTTCCATGCCAAAGAAAGTTCACACGCAATATCTTGATAACCAATCGTAGCATAAAGAGTGAAAAAGCAAATGCAACTTCATTGTGAAAATGATTACTCATTTGGAACCAGTTCATTCTCAATATATTCGGACTGGGACTGACCTCAAAACACGGGAAGCGTGGCTCATCCCAATTCGGAACTGAATACAATCAAATGGTAAGCTCGAAACTCTTCCTCATCTACCTACCTACCCACCTACATATTTATCTATCGTTCAATATAACCTAAACTCTATCTCTGTCATGTGTTGTATTCGTGTAAATGAAAGAAGATCGATTTCAGCTGTCTTATCGTGTCATTTAATCTATCAAGAAATCGATTTGTTCACCTCTATCGACTATCCATTCAAGTGATTTGAATCATGTTCGCCACATGTTTCTTAACAGCCAGCTCGATGAAACCGGTTCAAAGTCGACAGAGGAAAAATGAAATATTCGTCTTTTAAAAATTTATGTCGAGTCATTCTGATGTTCACGCAAGCAGTTATTATCGATTCTCTGCACTCCATTATCCGAGAAAGCCAACGAAACATCTTCACTCCCTTTCACTTAACATCATCTACCGACTATTGAAACTTGATAGTGAGGATAAGTGACTAACGCTATTCATTGTGAGGTATACAACCATACACAGAAACACAGGAGATGGTGGATGTGGAATTCACTGCTATATGATGTACAGACAAACAGTATTAGAATGTTTGAATATGATGGTCTGTGATTGGTTACTGAACAAAAATAAGTTAATTGCAGAGCATAATGTGATTGATTTAATGGACTAATTTACATGCACAAGTCAGCTTTTTTGTATATATTAAATGTAGTAAACGAAACATCACTAGTGGTCATTTCATGTAGCCGATTAAATTGAAGCGTTAATATGTATATAGAATCTGTAAATTAAATTAAACTGAATTAATCTTTTCATTTGTCGAGATCCAAAAAGAAAAGGTAACAAAAAATGGGTACATATAGTTTGTCAGTCAAAAGTGATTTCATACTTTACTGGGTTGAATAAAAAATAATCTTTAGTCTACCATAGCAATGAAGTAATTCTCTGTATTTCATTACTGTGCATATATATATAAGAACTGAACTAAATTTTTGTGATGAATTTTCAATAAGCTTGAACGTAATCAATCACATTCAGAGGTACATACGGCTTTCTGAAGTATAGAGTGGTCATGAGAAACGTTTCTAATTGATTAAATCAATCGATTAATTTGCTTACTGCTCTTTTTTTTTCATGTTGAAACTTCCTGTGGACAGCTGAATACTGTAGTTATACATCTTTCCACACCTTGATCAAGGTATTCCCTTGAATTAACAGTCAAGTATTCCAATAATGGCTATTCCATTAAACCAAGTTTGTTTAAACATTCCTCTCCTGAAGTCTCAATATCCCACTTAGGTTTGTTGGTGGGTGTTAAATTTAAAGGTAATATATTCAAGGTTTGATGGTGAAATGTTAATAAGCTTACCAAAAATGGAGGCAGAACGGTTTTAAAAAGTATTTTTTTTAATACTTGGAAACTAACTACTTAGTAAGAAATTATATCCAAGCAGTCTCAAGTAGTATTCGCTTAAGTTTCAATGTTTAAAATCTATAGTAGAATGAATTATAATTGATCATTCACAAATGTTCTTGACTTCAAATGTTTGAGTATAATGTTTGACTGAAATTATTCCTATTTAATAATAGTCAAATAATCTAGTATAAAGAAGCACTTTTACCTCCAGTTATTAATTACTGAATTAATTCCATTCTGGTTGTAATGTATCTTGTTGTTAATCCACTTTCATAAAACTCCCAGATGGAATAATTTGCTACAACTTGTCCGACCAAATTATTTTATTATTTTGTGGTAAATTATCGTTCATATATTTACACATCAAATCACTTATTTCTTTCAAAAAAAACCCAGAAAAGTAGTTACAATGTTAGCAGAAATATAAATTGAGTAGCTGTAGACAACCATTTATCCTTAGTGATATTTATACACACTGTATAACTTAGTACATAGATATAGTCACCTAATTGCACAAGCCAGTAGCTATCTGTAGTCAGCAGCTAAGTGGATAACGCGATGACTTTTGAAGCGAATAGAACTGGTTTTGAGTCCCACAGTGAATTTAGGCACCTCCAGCTGACTAGTTTCAAACAGGACAAAAGGTTCATTCTGAATTCTACTGTTAGCCACCATCCAACAATGCCTACAATCCTTTTGATTTACGGCAGTATCGAGGTAGTCCTCAAAGGATGCAGATATCCAAAAAGCGACTGATTAATTTCAATCTAAAACATCAATAAGAACATTCAAACAATTAATACATATGAAATATGAAGTTATAAGTTTAGTTTATGTTTATAAAAATCTTCCCATAAACAGTGATCATTGTTTAATCACCAATCTTAAGTTTATCTAGTTCTTTTAGTGCAGTAAACGTCTCAGTTCAACGAAAGGTCAACTACTGCTCGAATATGAAATTTTTTAACAATATTAGTAATAACTATACTTAATGCCATAAATTTTGATACGGTAAAAATCCCTTAAACGCCTAATTATTCAATATTACAACAAATTCCTCTTTAACATACATTCAAAATGTAACTAAACAAATATATTTAAAAATATTTTTAGCCGTCACTATTTTTCATCCGTATTGATCGATCACAGTTTTCTACCAGTTCAACTGGTATAACTATTTCTCTATTATATTACAATAATGTAGCTTCAATTGCAATACATTTATCTCTCGTTTTGTTAAAGGATAGAATAAAGAGAAGAATATAACAAGAACTGTAATTTTTCTGTTTGAGTCATCTGAGGTTTGGTAACATAATAATTTTAATGCCTTTATAATATAGTGCGCAAAAACATGCATTTAGAATTCATATCATTCAATTCAAAAAAATCTAATATAGGTCGTTTAGTCTCAATATTTGACAGTTGGAAAGTATGTGATCAAATGTTTGAGTAGTGCTAATAACTGAAATTATGAAGCTGAATTATGGAAATAGAAGTTTGCATAGGAAGAATCAAGAATACAGGTATCATTTCCAAATATTATGAAACTTAGAGTTTCTGTCGACTACTTCCAATCACATAACTAATTAACTCATATTTAAAACAAGTTATCTTATATATATAAGTTATCAGTGAGAAGCTGTGACCAGTGGAGCTAATCCGTGTCGGGTAGAGACAGTTATCTACATCAGTACAATGGAAGATGGTCGCGCACTTTCGTGGATTGGTTGATGTTAGACACTAACACCATTGGATGCCGGCTCAATGGTCCAGTTGGTTAAGCGTTTGCGCGCGAGACTGAAGGATCTGGGCTCAAATCCCGCAAGCAGGATCGTGGATGCACACTGCTGTGGAGTCCCACAATGGAACGAGGCGGCCGTCCAGTACTTCCAGGTTTCCAACGGTGGTCTAACATCAATCGGTTCATGATCTCAATCAAAAACTTAATAACCTCCACAACCCCTATATTGAAGATTCAGTTAGGTCAATCTTTCAAAATATTTATAACTATGAATTCTTGTTTCCTTCGGAAAAAAATGGAATAATAATTACAATTAGAAAATGAAACTATTTATTATTTTTTAAATGATGAGCTAATTACTGAACACAGGAACTAAAATTTAACTGCAGTTATACAGGATACGAGGATTCCTAAAAATCAGACAAGCAGTGGTATACGATGATGGAATAATCCTCTAAAAAAATTAATTTTTCGTGATTTTTTTCAAATAATTACAGATAGTTTCACTTCTAATAAATTTTCAAAACAAGTTACATAAAAATTATACATTACCAATACAACTACTTATAAGTACTATAAAGTGGGTCTAATTAATTATTTAGCAAGATAAATGACTAAATGTTAGTGACAATGAATTAATGTATATTTGCTGTATATCACTATTTGTCTTGTTATATTCATTAAAAAAACCAAATGGATTAATGGATATTTCAGTACGTTTCAACTTTATGTTAAACAATGGTAAACTTAAAGACCTCAAAATGCTATACTAATACTCCGTTTACTGAGTTCTCCCAATACTAAACATGCTATTGTAGGTTAAACCATATTAAAGAGTAGATATAATATGTGATTATTTCACCAAACATTTGATTACCGTGATACAAATAAAATCTCTAGTCGTTTTGTGATACAGTCTTATACCTTCAGAACAAAAAATCTTATGGAAAAGAATTTCTTGTCTAGTCTTCAAATCATAAATTAATTTTTATAATCCAACTCTAAGGATTGAATAATAAGTAAGATTTATTTTGATTGCAATTTCTATGAGTTGCATCATATCATCAATCAAAATGTGATTTACTCAATTATTTACTTGATTCACTTAGTCAAGCTATTTTATCATAATTTTAATGTAAATAAATAATTTCATGAAAGCTTAGTAGGTCAGATAAGATAATAACGAAAGATCAAAAGAATACAGTAGTGCTTTTAGAAGTTTATACACATTGACATCAGAATATACAGAATATGTCTAATATAAAAATAGATAAGTTAAAATTTTCGATATGTACACACAAAACAAAGGGAGAAAAACAAAATTCACATCTGAAGAGGTGAAAAAAATTATTAACTCGAAATCGTAGCTTTGTATCCTTGCGGCCATCTTACTCGTCGACCATATCTTGCCGTTACTGGAGTCTCCTCCTTTTACTGCATTAGCGCCGTTGATTCTTGAGACTCGTGTTTCGTTGGTGTGAACGTCTTTGAGGGGTCTGTACTTGTCGACTGAAAATCGATATCTATGAAAGCTGGTTTCACTCTCTCGATGCTGATTAAATCTGTCTTCCCAGCTTTTTCTACGGTAACTGCCATATCTGTCCTCGTAATCACTTTAAACGGACTGTCGTAATTTGGCTGCAGAGTTGGTTGTACATTACCTCCTCTAATGAATACATGAGTGCTATTACGTAGTTCCTTTAGTATAAACACTCGTCGTTGTTGTAGTCTGAGAATTGTTATTTTTAGATAGTTCATGTGCTTCTTCAGGCGTTGCACGTAGTTGGCTACATCAATCTGAACACTTTTATCTGAAGCGGAAAATCCCCCGGTTAAACATAGAGTAATTCCATATACCAACCAATCTGGACAACATCCCATATCCTGTTTAATTATTGTTCTTAGACCCAACATGACTAGAGGAAGCTTATTAGCTAAATCATTGTTGACAATTACAGATGTAAGGGACGCTGTTAACTGCCTATACAGGCGTTCAACCATTCCGTTTGCCATTTGATGGTAGGATGTCATACAAATACGTTTAACCCCGAGGAGTTCTGTAAGCTGATGGAAGAGTCGACTTTCAAATTGAGCTTCTCTATCGGTTGTGATAATTGCTGGCACGCCACCGTAAGAAATCCAATTTTCGACTAGGGCTTTGGCTACGGACTCGGCTGAGGTGTTTTCTATCAGTACTGTTACAGGCTATCGTGTAAATCTATCGATACATGTAAAAATGTAGTTGTATCCATTCGAAGGGAGGAAAAACGCGACTCACACGTCTGCGTCTTGCCTCCTGGATAGTGGGACGGATGACCCATGAACTATCGTGAGCGGTAAACCGGGTGGTGAGGGTGAACCACTCTACCTATACCCACCCACTGATTACGAAACCCACAAAGAATCACATCACAATTACTCCTAAATCGAAAAACGACAAAAAATTCACAAAAGTGGTGCATGGACTGTAAGAGGTTGTTCCCTACGGGGTAAAATCCAACCGATTGCAAAGACAGCTATTCTAGGCCCGGTAGTTGTACCGTGCTTTGATGTGGCCTGTTTCTCTCCAGAAAGGCCTAATAGGCTTCACCAACTTGTTTGACTGGAAGGGGGGAGGGGGCACCTATTAGAAACCGGTACCACTACTGGTCATCTTGTAAACCTATCGATGCATGTAAAGATATAATTGTATCCATTCGAAACAGGCAGTGGTCCTACGATATCGATGTGTATATGTTTGAATCTAGTGCCTGGGTGAAAGAATGAACCCATTGCGTAGCTAGTATGACGATGTACTTTGACTTTTTGGCACTTCATGATTCATATTTGTCCATACGAAACGTTCGCTGATTGGCTTCACCGTGGATTTTATTCCCGGATGCGATATATTGTGCATACTTTCAAATACCTTGTGTCGCAATAGTTTCGGAATGAATGGTCGCTGTCAGACTATCAACATATCACATATAACTTCTGCGCTACCGAACTGAATATCTTCGAATACTAATGATATCGTATCATCGGATCCCAGCTTGCTTAACTTAATGTCCGTCTCTTGCAACTTTGTGAGACCATGATAATTGATTCCACTTGTAATAAGCGCGTTTACCGTTGTTCTTGATAGTGCGTCAGCTACTTTGTTTTCTTGGCCTTTGATATATCGTATATCAGACGTGAACTAAAAAATAAATTCTAAGTGTTTGATCTTCCTCTGAGAACAATTATCTTGATTTGCGCTTAGTGCTCTCTTGAGAGGTTTGTGGTCCATGTACACAGTAAAATTTGTACCTTCTACCATATGTCGAAAATGTTTTATTGCCAAGTAAACTGCTAGTATTTCTCTTCCCAAAGTACCATATCTCGTTTGAGTAGGATTCAATCTCTTTGAGAGAAATGAAAGCGGTTCTCATGTGCCACTTAATAACTGTTGTAAAACGGCTCCTGCCGTCACACTCGATGTATCCGTTGTGATAGCTATTGGTGTTTCACTCCTTTGTCTTTCGGAATAAAGCGCCTGCAATTATTTATTAGCCTGAGAAATCGTAGTAACTTCTTCCGTGAGTTGGGTAACCGATAATCTCTGGTATCATCGTCTTCTGCGGAGATCGGCGTAATACCTTGAGAAGTTACAATGTGACCTAGGAACTGCGAGGAGACCTTTTCGAACTCACACTTTCCAATGTTTGTGAAGATGCCATGTTCTCGTAGTCGCACGAATAGTTGTCGTAGTTGCTGTGGACGCTCGTCCATAGTGGCGCTGGCTACTAGTAAATCATTAATGTACATACACGCTCCAGGTAAACCTCTGATGACCTGGTCGATAAGTCGTTGAAAGGTTTGCGCTGCATTAGTCAGTCCGAAAGACATGAGCAGAACCTATACAAGATTAATGTACCTGTTTGACACGTGACTTTCAATAACAGACACTCGAATAAAACCTGTTAATTTAAGAAATCAAATGCCGTCTTTAAGTAATTGGAAATCAATAGGTTTGTCCATGTTCCAGAACTTGGAGGAGAGGAAATATTTAGTATATAAATTCACGTCCAGGTTTGAAACCAGAATGGTTTTCCCGAGTTTCCTCTTTACGATCTCAATGTGAAAGTTTGATGATTATTGGAGTTAATATCTTGGACACTTAGTTGAAATGATTTGATTGTGGCTTTCAGATTTTTGTTTTTTCTTATAGACTTGAACAAACGAGTATAGGTAGTGAATTCTAGGTGGTAAAGCGAAAAACAAACACCCAAAAAATATAATAATTGATTAAAAAATATCCTATCCATCATGGTCAAATAAATACTAATGTGTAGTACTAGCAAGCAACTAAACTAGTGAGTTAGTAATGTTTCCCTCAATAGTTTCAAAAGGATTACACAGTCAATATGTAATTTCTTTGTATCATTGTTAGTAAACATATGTTAGAGAAAACGAGATCACTCAGAACGAATTGCTACTAACCTTCTGAATTCGTCTATGAGGTTCTATTTTGTCAATTATATATACCTGAAGCTCTAGGGATTTGAGCAAATAACTTCATCTTCTGTTTTAAAAAGTAATTAGTATCAGAAGGGGTTTTGTGGAGATTGTAGTAATTTTAAATAGTTGAGATCATGAGTCAATTGAATGTAGATCACCATTGAAAACCTGGAAGCACTGGACGGCCGTTTCGTCCTACTGTGGGACTCCTCAGCAGTGCGTATCCACGACTCATGATCTCAACTGTTTAAAATTACTACAATCTCCACAAAACCCCTTCCGATACTAATCAACATATGTTCACTAGTGACTGGCTTCAAGATATATGTCCTGGAGTTCTAGTGAGAAGCAGTGACCAGCGGAGTTCAACTGGGGCAGTTGGGGGGTACTAACTTACTGATGACAATGGCGGATGCGTCGCTCAATTTCGTGGATTAGTTGAAGTTAGAAATTAACACCGCTGGATGCCGGCTCAGTGGTCTGGTTGGTTAAGCGCCTGGCGCAAGACCGGCAGGTCCTGGGTTCGAGTCCCGAGAGGTGGGGTTGTGGATGCGCACTGCTGAGGAGTCCCACAGTAGGACGACCAATGCTCCCAGGTTTTCCATGGTGGTCTAGCTTCCATTGACTCATGATCTCAACTGTTTAAAAAGTAATTACCAATATTACAGTCCCTTTTTCATTCAGAAAAAGCTTAACAAGCAATCTTTTTAATTCTTTATACTCTTCACTTCAATTCGAATCATATTTTTTATATAGATTTTAAATGATTACTCACATAGTTTTATGTAATTTCACTAGTGATTATTTTAATAAGTTCTATTTCTAAACTTTTTACTTACTTTCTATGCTGAAATGTTTGTTCATTTTTATCATACTATCTTTATTCTATGTATAATTTTTCTATACCTGTAATTATACAATCAATTTCTACTTTTCCCTCACTATGATCGGTTATTTTGCCTACTTTGTGGTTATAACTTTCTAATAAATCGCTTTGATTGATTCATTGTGTATATGCATGGGTAGCAGTGGTAACTATAATGATAATTCAGTACAGCATACAACAGCTCACTTCTCTTTTAGCCATAGCTACTTTAAAAGACAAATCTTGTAAGTAAGATCTGTTGAAAGAGACCGAAAAAGGAGTGATTTGTATCCAAGTTTAATCCATTATATATCGATCAAATTCAGTGATTATTATTAATTACAACTAAATAATGATGATTTCAATAGAAGAAAATCACTGTAAATTTATGAACACAGTCAAAATGTCATTAAAAATCAAATAAATAATTTTATACCGAAAGGATTAATACGAATGAAAATTTACAAAAAACTCACTGAAGTAAACTCATATCAACTTACTACAATATGTGAATTTTAAGATTGATTTTCCTATCATATGTTGTATTAATTAGGGTGCTATGATGGAAAGAAAAGTCATTATGTGTTTTGTTCAATAATACTTCCGTTTTGATTCAATGTAGTATTTGTTTTGTTTTCTTGTATGATATCTTATTCTGCGTAACATACGATATTCGTGTATTCAGTTGACATGAACTATACTCAGCATGTGATTTTTAATAACTGAGTATTTTTTATATATGTGATTTCATCCTAATTATTAATCAAAATGTGTGTACAATCAATATATAAATGCGTGTATTTTTAACTAGGGTTGTCTTCGTCGTTGTCATTGTGTTTTGGGGTTGATAAATATTCACTTATACCAGTCTTTGTGTTCTTGCTTTCGCGTCGTGGGAATTGTAGAGAACCCTCGTTTCGAGTATAAGTGATATGACTTTCGGACATAACAATCAGCGACGACCAGATATAACAAGTATCATTCAACTGACAAGTTATAACAGGGGATTTAGCATCCCTAACAGTTCGACATCGTTTATATTTACATACAGATATAACTGTACATGATAGTAATGCCTGATGGGTGCTTAACTTGAATATAATATTATTAACTCAGATGTCTTGTTTCAACTAAACATTAAATTATCCTGTCATTCTGATGTTTAACACAATGCCAAATGAAAAATCCTTGGTGTTACTAGTTCATTTCTAGAAAACAATCAAATATTTTCAACTTGCATTTAACAAAATAATTGTTATTCAACTGATAATTGCACAAACTTTTTCTTGTATTAGGAAGATTAATTCATCTTGACAATAATTTTTATCACGTACTAATATCAGTTGAACATTGAGAACCAATGAATAACGGTTTCATGCTGACTTCAAACGTTACTTAACGTCAAATTCTAGTAAAAAACAATTTGAATTACACAAACTTTATGATAAATAACAAATTAAAACACTTCAATGTTAGTCTTTATTTTCATCTCAAGGTGGATGTAAACATTTTCAGGAAAGGAAAACTGAATATTTGAAGAAGAAGAAATCATTATATGTTTAGTTGAAATTCCTTACCAAGTTTTAACGACCAATCGAATTATAACATTTTAACTAGAATCATTCACTATTGACTCAATGATAAACCGATCAAATAAATACGTTTGATAGCTTGTAACATTGATTCAAATTCAATAAGTAACAATATTACATCCTGTTGATTGCAGCAATTTAGTAATAACCGCTCTATCATAGTATTTTGATAGC